TTTCTACACCTTTTCAATACCGAACCCAATCAGCGTGGCGTTCTACCCTATTTGCCTGACGCTCACTACTACGACACCGACAATATGCTTACCGAACAACGAAAAGCTTTCAGTACGAAATGTTAAAGCATTGCTGTTATGACGTGGATTTTTTGCAGCGTTGTTGTGGAAACTTTTGAGAACTATTCATGGAGCTCGGAGGGATCGATCCTTTATAAAAGGAAACTGCACCATCGCCAGCCAATACGTATTCCTTAGTGTACCGCAAACGATTTATGTCCGAGAAGACCCTGGTTGTCATACGCCGTCAAACGACCAACTTTGCCAAATGTCAGTACTCAGTGAAAACCCTACGTTGTCTATATTACTTGTGCAATAAGAAAGACAAATACATTCAATATTCCAGAAGCGGACAAGGCGAAAAGACAATAAGAATGCATTTGGTTGATGGCTGAGACTTAGAAAACCCTAAGATCGTGTACGAGCTTAACGGATGCTTATTACTCTGATGTCCGACCTCAACCGTACACCCAAAAGATTTGTACGAGACCACTTGTCAGCGACGTGTGAAGTTAGAACAACAAGGATACCAAGTGGTGTAAATGTGAGAACACTAGTACGGTCACCGTCTGAAAACCAAGCCCGAGTTTAAACGTAACGCCATCATCTCAAACTACAGCAATAATCATATTTTAGACCCTTTTCTAACCTCCAATGACCCGTCGGACAGCAGAACTCTGGAATTGTGAACAACCAATTTTACTTCACCTTACCGAGTGACAGTTACATGTGCTTCCCCACGATAATTTATACTTTTTCAGGACGAAATTACCTCAGTTTATCCAAAATGGATTATGAAGCCCATTGGGAAGTGGCTTTGGTCGAAATGATTCCCCATATACAAATCTAAAACATCACTGAAAATCAAAACACGCTTGAGGTCGAACGTCTGAACAACGAAGTGCAACAATAATTGAATGAACATGAAACTGTAGTCTCTATGAAACGACCAGTGTCCCTCAATACTCTAAGGTACATCTGGAGAGAGAGAGAGAGAGAGAGAGAGAGAGAGAGAGAGAGAGAGAGAGAGAGAGAGAGAGAGAGAGAGAGAGAGAGAGAGAGAGAGAGAGAGAGAGAGAGAGAGAGAGAGAGAGAGAGAGATCATCATCGACTGCAAAAATAGATGATATAGGGAAGACTTCTCAAATCACAAAGCGAAGACTGTGATAATGAGGCCAATCATCCCCTCTCTGCTCTAATTAGTCATACAAATAAAATGGGAGCAGGACTGGAGCCGCCGATGTGGTTGTGGTGATCGGCCTGGGAGATATAACCATTAACCAGGTGCATTTGGAGTTGAAATAAAACTCAGCTCTTTTCAGGGCTAATCAGATCTCTAGAAAAGAGAGATTAATCAATTTGCCACTCATATAATTATGAGTGTGTGTATGTTTTTGTTTGTGTGCGTGCGCGTACGTTAGTTTGTGTGTATCACTATTTTGTATGTGCGTGTGTTTGTATGTGTGCGCGTACGTTTGTTTGTGTGTGTATTTGTGTTTGCATGCGTGCGATTGCGTTTATATGTATTTTGTTTGTTTGTGTGCGCGCGTACGTTTGTGTATGTGTTCGTATGTGGCACACTTGCGTTTGTGTGTATGTGTGTTTGTGTTACGCGCGCGCGTTCGTTTGTGTGTATGTGTGTTTGTATGCGTGCACGTACGTTTGTTTGTGTATTTGTTTTTGTATGCGTGAGTATACGTTAGTTTGTGTGTTTGTATTTGTGTGCGTGCGCGTCGTTTGCATGTGTATTAGTTTTATATCTTAACACAAAAACCTTGTCCTAATACACAAAATGTTTGGTATTAGTGTGTTGTTTTGAATAAAATTTATTTTAGGTTAGCACTCCCATCACTATGGGATGTTTAGCATTTGATATGGGTAGTTAGTGAGAGGGTTTGTTTTCCTTCACATCAGTGCTTGAGACATATAAGATCGCGCGTTCGTAATTCGCACCATTCAATATTGAATAAAAGAAATAGCCAGCAATCACGTAAACAAGATAATGACATTGCAAGAGGCAGTAGATGACTTTATGGATGGTGGAAGAATTTTGATGAGAATAGGTATGGTTGTTATAATCTCCACTGGCTCAAAATGGAGATCAATAATTTTAAGAAGACAAAGGAAATGTTGAGAGACCTAATCAAACAAGAACAGTTGGAGAAGGAAGAAGAAGAGGATAAAGAACAAATGAAAAGATGGAACGATAAAGACGGAAACAAGAGAGGAGACTGAGAAGAGGAAGAATTATGAGGATAAGGAATTGAAGGAGGAAAAGGATGAGAAAAATACAAATTTAGTGAAGAAGATAAAGAACTGATGGAATAGAAGAAGAGAGGACAGACAAAAGAATAAGAAAACCAAATGCCATTTTCAGGGCCACTACATTGCCTAAAATGTTTTGCTTTCTTGCCGTATTGGTGTATTTGTCAGTCTCTAAACCTGTCTCTTTCCCTCTTTCTAACCACGTCTCTAACCACATATCTATGTCTGTCTCTATTTTTCTCTAGAGTAGCGCGTATTCAGGTCAGCCCCATGCCATACTGTTCCTCCCGATTGAGGTCAGTCACTTGCAACTGTGTTGTTAGTGTCGAGTACCGTAACTCCAAATCCCCTTAACCCTATACAGTCCCAAACAATTGTCGCTAAATATTCCCTCTGTTCAATTTCCCTTGACGTTAGACAGTCCCAATCCCCCATCCCCATAAATCCCATGTTAAATTTCCCACGTTAAATTCCCCTTGATGCCAGTGTACAAACCCACTAGTGTAATATAAAAGTCCCCATGACGCTAGGGTATCCCCATTTGCTACTCATGTATAAAATTCATTCCATGCTTTTTTTTGTAATTAGACGCTACAACTTTCTACAAGTTATTTTTGGGGGCCCCGAGTGGCCGAGTGGTCTAAAGCGCTGTCCGTTACAGATCACTGCCATCTCACCTCTGTCTGCGTAGGTTCGAGTCTAGGATTCGGCGATTGTGGATATGTGAGAAAGCTTGCCAGTAGCTTCTCGTGGGTCGGTGGTTCTTTCCGGTGATTTTCCGGTTTCTTCCTCCACCATTAATACTGGCCGCCATGAATAGCCTATCGTGTGCTGAAAAATGGCGTTAAGCCCAACAACAAATAATTAGACGCTAATTGGAATGATATGCATGAAAGAATGAAAAATAATGAAATTAAAGAAAAACAGCCTCAAGTTTATAACTTTAAACCCTTTAAATTTGCTATATTGGATACAACGAGACTACACATTGAATCTTGAGATTCTTAACGAGACCGTTTGCTGTCCATATTGCTCAGATTACATATTGATTAAAACAATTTTCTTTTTACAAAGCTGGCACAAATATAAATTAGAATAAACATATTTGTATATAGAAACTAAAAATGAAACATTGAGTTTAGGATTCTTCGTCTTATAATAACATTTAATTATATTACCTTTCATTTAGTTTCAATAGAACTTCAAGTGTAGGGGCCCCAAGTGGCCAAGTGGTCTAAAGCGCAGACTGTTACAGATCACTGCCATCTTACCTGTCTGCGTGAGTTCGAGTCCAGACTCGGCTAACGTGGGTAAGTGAGAAAGCCTACCAGTAGCTTTTCGTGGGTCGGTGGTTCTTCCCGGGGTTTTCCAGGATTCTTCCTCCACCATTAATACTGGCCGCCATGTATAGCTATCTTGTTCTGAAAATTGGCGCTAAGTCTTACAACAACAACATCTTCAAGTGCGAGTTAAGGGTCTAGTAATTCAAACGATTTTTATGCAATCTTTGTATGTATGTATGTATGTTTGTATGTATGCATGTGTGGGTGTATGTATGTATATATATATGTATGTATGTATGTATGTATGTATGTATGTATGTATGTATGTATGTATGTATGTATGTATGTATGTATGTATGTATGTATGTATGTATGTATGTATGTATGTATGTATGTATGTATGTATGTATGTATGAATGTATGTATGAATGTATGTGTGTATGTATGTATGTATGTATGTATGTATGTATGTATGTATGTATGTATGTATGTATGTATGTATGTATGTATGTATGTATGTATGTATGTATGTATGTATGTATGAATGTATGTATGTATGTATGTATGTATGCATGTATGTATGTATGCATGAATGTATGTATGAATGTATGTGTGTATGTATGTATGTATGTATGTATGTATGTATGTATGTATGTATGTATGTATGTATGTATGTATGTATGTATGTATGTATGTACGTATATATTTATGTATGTATGTATGTATGTATGTATGTATGTATGTATGTATGTATGTATGTATGTATGTATGTATGTATGTATGTATGTATGTATGTATGTATGTATGTATGTATGTATGTATGTATGTATGCATGTATGTATGTACGATCCATCCATCCATCCATCCACACACACACACACACACACGTATGAATTTAATTATGTGTGTACGTAGGAATTTACAAATATATAAACATTTCTAGCAATAGTTGCCATGATTGTTAGAATGAGTCATAAATAGATTTGATTTGCTATAGTTATTGATAAAGATGTTGTATTTGAAGACTGTTTTAAAAATCAACTTAATACATTTTATTGAAAACCCATAATGTATGCTATAACAAAATATTCGTGAAAACTGTGCTCATTTTACAATGTCTAAATGTCAGTTTGTATAGTATCATGATATTTAGATATTTGTATACATGAACATAACCACTGCAACGTCCGCAAGATCTAATAAAAAGTTATTGCAATTTCTGGGTTTTTTTAAACAATCTTTTCTCTTTTCTCATTTTTAGGGTTGCGTATATTTTCTTGAGATTTACTTTATTAGATATATCAGTATGATTTGATGTGTGCAAACGGTGACTATGAAGATATGCTTTTTTTCAATGAATCAGATGATACAATTTTCAATATGGTTATTACCGCTCCCGTGGCCTAATGGTTAGAGCGTCCGCCTCGGATGCGGGAGGTCGCGGGTTCGAGTCATACCAAGAGGTCAGTGTTAGGACTGGTTGGCCTGGTGTCAGGATAATGTGACTGGGTGGGACATGTCTGCGGCATGATGTCCCAGGCTAGATATCACTGTAAACTGTCACTGCAGATATCGTAGCGATCTGACTGAAAAATTGTTAAAGCTACGTTAAAAATCTAAATCACCCACACACACACATACACACGTGCGCGCGCGCACACACACAATATGGCTATTAGTGAGAACTACCTAAACAACAACTTAACAGGATATTTGATCTAAACACTGCCTTTCCTTTGTAATCTATGCTTTCCATTCCTGTAAATGTTCATTAACCTGAAAGCAAGTTCAATAAACCATGCCATTATCGGGGACTAAATGTGCAGTACTTATCTAAACCTACCAACTTGATCAAAAATAAAGATACCTTGAACATTGCATAGGGTGACATCGCAGCGTGAGTGTGAAGTTTAACGATATGAGTGCTGCTTATAGTCATTACTTTGTATGAAGAAATGTATTTTGGGTAATAAAAAAGAATTCAATTGCAGACACAACTACAATTAATAGGTGGTTTCACAGTGTTACTGATAATATATGATATTGTGTTGATAGTGTAACATTGCATAATATGATATTTATCTTCATTCTTCATTGTAATTAGAATATTGAATCATTATAGCTGAGGTTTATAGATAATGATTCACTTGAATATATCAATTCATTTATTATAATACCAATCTGCAAAGGCAGATGAATAAGAAAATAAAATAATTGAAAGCTAGACCAGATTTATCATCAAACAATTTACGTCATCTACCATAAAATACCAGGAGGGAGCCTGTTTTGCCTTATCTTATTGCTGCTTATCGTACAGCTAAATATTGGGCTGTCACGATAGGAAAGATGAAGAAAGAAATGGAGAGGTATAGGAAAGTTCGGGTAGTTAGATGACTTATGTAAAGAAAGATTTTCAACTAAACGAGGGGTCATTTTCCATTCGGTATCAAAAGTAAGAGAAAAGGCTTTTCATTTCCAAACAGAGAAGTCATTTTACATGTAGTATAAAAAAGAATAGAAGAAAAGGCGTATTTTGAAAACTTGCCTTAATTTTAGTCGGAATTATTTGACAATACATCAAGCTTGATATTTATGAACAAGTGATAACATATCAGTTTTCTTTGTTCCTTCAGTCTTCGTCACATCCCCATTAGTGTATGGCAGTGTCTGCTCATGCTGTTTAATTTTTCTATCCTATATCACAGGACTGTTATTCCGCCCCACGTGACAAAGCCATTGGTTGGCGCATCAATACAAATATTTTATAACATCTCTGATTGTCGGATCTACTTCTATTTTTCCATCTATTTAATTTTAGAATTTACGCTATATTTATGTGTTCTAAGCACATTTCCGAAATTTCTCCAAATTGCCTATTCCACACAAAATATTCAATTAATCCCTATTCAGTAGCGATCAATATTGCAAATACACGTTTGTGTAACTTTGACATTTTTCTAAACCGTATCTATTGCTTAACTGGCATACGCCAATCTTGTCCAGACTCTAATTCATCAATGACGATATGCAATCTTATAGCTTAGTTAAATCACAAAGAACACATTCATCCAACGTAAACTTGCATGCATCGTAACATATATTTATATATCTGGATTGAAGAGCAGCTGATTGAAACAATAAATTATGGTATCTTGAAGCTGGGGAAGGCTATTCAAGGGCTGGCCTAATTGTATTTATTTCGATAAAGGTGTGTTTAGCTGAGTAAAACTGACAGGAAATTAAACAGGAAACTGATATTCAAAACTTATCGAAAGAAATCATCCAAGCTTTTTCAGGCACTAGTAAAGCTGTAGATTCAGGGTCGTATTCAAATTTTCTTTGCTATGAAAAGAAGCTCTTCGAACGGAGTAAATGTGCTAAAAGTTCTTGTCATTATGCCTAGTAGGTATATAGTCACCTGGGCAGACCTTGTCGTCCAATTCGAGCCGATTCGATCTGTTATTATAGTCATGTGTCCACTCTTGTGTATTATGACTGGTTAAAGCCCTGAAAAGGGCTAGCGGCCTCCGCTCCTTCTGAGGCAGGGCTCATCCGTGTCTCAGTGCTTGACACTTTTTTGTGCCCCGGCGCATGAGCGTAATAGCCCCCCCCCCTAGATGGTTTACCACCTAAGCCGGACATCACCTTATCGGTAATGTTGCTAATCTAGGGAGGCACTTAGCCCGAGGGCTGGGCCTTTGGTCTAGTGCTTGACCTTTTCCACCGACCTTAAAACAGACCTTTATTGGGTAGCATTGACACAGTTCAACCGCTCCGATCCCCGGGCTCGGAAAAGGCAAAGGAAAGGATCCAGACCTTGTCGTCCGTTACGTACCCATATATCAATATTTGGCACGTTTATGGCACGAGACGAGTGAAGGCAAGATACCAGGTGGGCGACAAATTTATAATTTATTCGATTCCATGGATTGACCGTTGCAGTCACGTTCAGTCTGAGAAGACCAGATATGGGTTGTCCACATTAAGATATAATTGTCATTTAATTTCAGGGTGGGATGCAAATGAAACGTTTCTATCAGGTCTCACTTATAATCATTAGTACCGAATATTACAAATTTACATGAAGATTTAAATAAGTTTTAGTTGTGTTTCACAAAATTAAATTCCAATACGAGTGATATTGATTAGGTCTTCCTGACTTTGTCTCATAATTCCTTCAGAAGTTAGCAGACTTGTGGTGAATTAGAAAATACATATTAGAAAATTCCTGATATTTTATTTTATATTAAATTTCTTTGTGCATTTCTTCACAATAAAATATAAATGGCTTTGTCTGATTTTGTAAATGAAACATCTTTCTCTGGAATTAAGATGAAGTAGGATTTCACACATATATCCTAAAACCATGTTTGTTGGTGGAAACATGTAAAGAAAAAGTGCGTTTTAAGTAATTTACACGCAGTTAAGAACAGGCAACCTTATCCATGATGTAAGCAATTAATTGCCAGGGAATGCAAAATTGTTTTGATACCAACGGCAAAGAGTTAGTTCTGACATTTCCTGCAGCTGACGAAGTATGGTTTTGGGATCTGGAATGATACATTCAGCTTTCTGCAGAAGAAATTGTAATGTATTTACGGTAATATTAATTTAAATGTACTCATGGAAATTTGGAATACATCCACGAGTCTTTATACTTGTGAATCGGTGCGCAGATGTCATTCTAGCATCAAAATCATCGTTTCATTCGCTAGTGTTCAAATTTTAAAAAAACGCTCTGCAGTTACAAATGCGCGAAAAAAATGTTGTTAGGGCAGATGACGGTACAAGAGAATTGAGAGATGTGTCATTCTGCGTGCATATCAGGAACATAAAGTCTGAATAATCTCATCCTAGTAAAATAAAAATAAGATTAGCTTAAATCAAAATCAACGTCACCTGGCTTCGTGAAAAATTTTACGTCATAATAATAATGAAAGCCTGTAAATACAAAACAAAGGATTTATAAATATTTGTAATAATATTAACATATAGCAAGATGTAAAAACACACACACACACACACAAACACACACATATATATATATATATATATATATATATATATATATATATATATATATATATATATATATATATATATATATATATATATATATATACCATATCACTTCTGGAAGCTATATATTGCCTTTCTAAAGGCACAAAAGACAATCACACATAGGAAACCAGAGCAAAATAAAAACGTAATTACCCCTCTTCGATCTTAAAGGAAGTAACAGATAAGAGCGATCACAACAAATTGAGTAAAACTAAACAAATAATTTATTTTCCTATTACACAACGTAAAATTTTAGAAAAGTACTTGCAGTATTGTGAATTAAATCCAAAAATAGTCCTAAATTTTATATCACAAGTTAAAAAGTATAGTGTTCAAAGTGAATTTTCAGTTTGAACGTGCTGATGTACAAATGACCTGGAATGTGGCGATGTAATAATAATCTCACAATAGTTATGTAGTCCCAAAGTCAATAATCACTTTATAATTCCAATTAATAATTTAAATAACTAAATCCCTTCAAATGATACATACTAGAGCACAATTGCAAGACCATTCCACTACAGATACTTATGTTATGAATTATGAATTCTAATGTAAACAAATTTAATTTTTAAAAATACAACACAATAAAAGAACCAGGATGAGCTTCTAAAGTTCAGTTCTAGAACAATATCAGTTGTAAACAAAGTCAGGACTTTTACTGAAATTTAAGTCAAGAACATAACGCACATCAGGTAGATCAAACATTTTCAAACGAATACCAGTACCCTGAACTCAGATCCCCAAAAATTTTCGAAAATAACATTAGTTAGTTAGAGCCTTTATATGACCTCAATTTTGGACAAAGGCCATTGCACAATATATATATATATATATATATATATATATATATATATATATATATATATATATATATATATATATATATATATATATATACACACAGAATCTACATGATGTTTGCATTGCCTATTTATAAGGACGATACATTGAAGCAATAAATAAAACAAGCGGAGTCAAACGATTTTGGACGTAATAACATTTTAAAGCTAGTACTGCGGAAAATACTAGAACCATGAACACTAATTGATTACATGATTAAGTAGGTCAGCAATATAACCTTTGCGGCGTCTATTTTGTCCAGTTAGATTTTGCTGAACTGGCAGTTTCATAACACCTGCATTTTTTTTTCGAAGGTAGTACTAAATAACTGAACCTATTGTATTATATTAGCAATCATATTTCTGAAAAATATCAAATAAAAATCGTATTTATCAGCTGTTAATACCAATTCAGTTATGTTTGTACTGTTGATTGCCATTTATTCTTTCGCACATATTTCTTCCACGACCAAAACGTTTGTTTCTTTATCCATTGCAGGTATAAACTGTTGTCTTATAATATGTAAGTTTTTCATTCAAAAGCACTTATGCTGTTAAAGTTTA